AGTTCTAGTATGTAGATTAACCCTACACACGTGTGAACCATGTGCACAAACACATTCAGTGCAAACACACATGCGCACACATGCAGTTAAATGTCTTAAATTAAATTGTGTGCATTAATCTTATAGTACAAGCAGTAGAGTTGTTATCATCTGTAATATGTTTTAATGGTGGGCTGGTTTGATTAATATGTGTGATAGGCTGGGCGATCAACTGGTTGAGACACCAACCAGTCCTGCTACATCTACATACAAACAGTCCAAAGAACTGGGTGTGAGTGTAGCCTCTGTGTGGCCCTCCACATACGGCCCCTTGAACACCCAGATGGTCTGTTTCACACACGTTTCTGGTTCTGATCAAGCGGCCAAGCAGTCAACAATATTTACATACAAACAGTCCCAAGTCAATATATACGTCTGTGGTACCAAGAACTGGGTGTGAGTGTAGCCTCATTGTGGTCCCCACAACATGATGAACACAGGCTTTAAAAACTCTGGACATATCCTGTGATTTAGATTCATCATATATTTCCCCAAGTTTCAGCTGAGTGTCTCATTTAGTAACAAAACATGATTGTGAACTCTCTCTCAAGTCAAGTTTATTATATAGCCCATTTCATACACAAAACGGTAGCCCAACGTGCTTCACATAGTAAAAACAATCACAAGTGAAATGAAATAGTTAAAATGTCACATCATGTTGTGTAAAATAAAATCAAAGAATATTGACACAGAACATAGCACACAAACATAAAAGCATATTAAGTACAATTATTGGTAGCGCTTTCTTTTACAGTCCTCTAATTACTTAGTACTTACATGGTAATTACTTTGTAAGTTAGTATATTATTGTTTCTGAGGTCTTAAATTGTTATTACCATGTAACTCAGGTTCAATTCTAGTTTTTATTTTTATTAATCATTCCTCGTAAATATTGCTTTACACAGTAACTGCACCAGGGTTTCCCTTACATAGGCGTAGCCGTGGCGGCCCGCCACGGCTGAAATCCCACCGCCACGCCTACAAGATCCCAAGTTTTGATTTTTTTAGCCGTTTCACGAGGAAGCAGCGGGTACTACTATGTTGTTGCTTGTGATCACAGCCGGCAGGCAGCAAGGAGGAGCAGGCAGGGCAGGGTGAAGTTACAGCATAAAGGTAGCAGTGGATATAATGCTTTTTGGTTTACATGTTTCAATAGCATTAAGATAAACGAGCGTTGACGATCTTGACAGGATTTCCTCCCCCCACCAGGATAATCATCACTTATTCATGTAAAATGTATTTATTTTTTCATGTCTGACTTTAACCGCATCTAATACTGTATTACGATGTGAGCGCAACAGTGGCAACTTAAGATCGATGTGTGAGCAGCCTGAGAGGTCGGGTGTTTTCATCTGAACCCTTAAAACCTCCAGCAGGCTACGCTGCACTATTGACGTGTTATCGCGCGGCGCTAACAACTTAGCGACATGACATGTCTCAGAGAAAGCGTAAAAACACGTTGAACGCTTCTTCTGAAGCGGGAAAATAACACCTCTTCTTAAGCAGAGCACGACGTCGCCTCAGCTCGCTCACGGCCGAGCCGGACTGAGCTCGATAACATTGACCCAGCACAGCCACTGGGTCGTTGGAGCTGCCCCGTGACTGCCTGATGGAAAACCAGCGGGGTTCATCAGGCTCGTGAAGTTTGTTTTTGCTGGGGACCCCCTGTATTTTACCGCTCCCTCCTGCAGTCTTCCCCTATTAACATTTAAAATGATTCTGTAAATTCCGTGTATCAAAAGAAAAAATCTCTGCCTCTGCCAGCTGCAGTAAATGTAGTCTCCAAATAATAAATAAGAGGTAGGGCTGCTCAATTAATCGAATTTTAATCACGATTTCGATCTGAGTTTTGAAAGATTATAAAAAACAAAACAAGCCGATTATTTGCTCCTCCCACTTGCGCTGCCCTGAGTTGCAGATGAAGCGCTCCTCCTAGGGTGTTGCCAACTTGGCGACTTTGACGCTATTTCTAACAGCTTCTCAGACCCCCTTCTTGACTTTTTAAATCTTAAAAGTACCTAACGAACACCTCAGAAACATCTCTGGTAACCCTTAGCTACTTTCTGGATAACTGTCGTCAATGTTTCCTGCAGGTTAGCTAAACTCTCCGCCTGCGCTCCGGACCGTTCTTCAGGACATTAGGAAAGGGAACAGGGTCCGAAATTAACACTCGCCAAATGCGAGTAAATTGCTCCATTTGGCGAGTACATTTTTTTGCTCTACCTGCCACCTCGCGAGTAAATGTTTGCATCAAATTAGTTATGTTTATCAGTCATCTTCCATGGATTTGTGATACTCCTCCCGCCTGCATGCAACGTACACAAACGTACGCGATACGTGAACGCAGCATCCAACGTCATTTCCACCTATCCCATTCAATCAGTTTATCAAGTTAGCAGTTAGCTTCGTGTTAAAACTAGCGGTGAAATGTGGCGATTTTTAACTGGAGTCAGCCAGCCTTCCAAAAGAAAACTCGTCGAGCTGGAAGAAAAACCACCAGGACCAGTGGCAACCAGAAGATTTTGTGAAAAGTGGCGAACCGGAGATGGCGGAGTCGTGAGACAATGGCTACATTATGATGGCCACGTAGCGTTGCTGCCTTTCACAGACAACTGTCCCTCTGCATTCTTCAAATGTCCAATAAATGCCCATACTTCCCACTTTGTCTTCTTTGAGGGATAATAAATGTCCCAAGTGCTACAGTCTCCTCTGGCCATTATTTCAGCTTTAGCTGAAAGAAAGTTTTGGTCGTAAACAACAAAGTGCGCATGTGCCGCCGGCAACTTCCAGCAGATGATACGGTGGCTGGTAAGGGTCACCGCGCCTACACCGCAGCCACGGTAATCCACTGAAATAATTTTTTTTAAACAAGACGGTTATTATTATTGTAAACTTCTTTACCGGGGTTTACCGCTACACCGGTTACCGTGACTTTCAGATATTCTCATGGTGCAGCTGTGTTGATGTTTTAATTATTTTGTCACTCTGTTTGGAATCAACATAATATAGAATTACATGCTTTAGGTAGATCTAAATCATTTAGAATTTTGGCCGGTAAAAAATATGCTTGGCCGGTAGATTTTCATCATCTACCAGCCAACTTGGCCGGTGAGTAAAAAATTTAATTTCGGACCCTGAAAGGGAATGATGCAGTGATGTGTCAGTCGCTAAAGAAACAGCTCTCGGAGCCGGCTCCCTGTTGGATTAACCAGAGTGAGTGACACACACACCGTACCTGCGGACTCCTGAGCCACTAAAAACGGCTAAATGTGCGCGTGCGGCGTGCTAAACATACGTGCAGCTTGTCCCGATTGCTGTGAGACCGGGTTGGGGGGTGGGGGGGTGCAGCTGTGGTAGGGACAATTATTACATTAACTGATGGACTTGTAAATACATAGTTTATAAATAAGGTAGAAATAACTTCCTCACGCTGATAAATAATAACTAATCTCTCTGAGGACACGGTGCTAGTGCACTCTCCTACAGCATCTTGACACGGCTCAATAAATGTTATGCATCATTTTGTGAACATTAATTTGTTTGCATTTATTTGTTATAAATGCCACTGTATAATTCTTGCTGTCAGTATTTGCAAGATATTGGTATTTGGGTCTGTACTGGTTAGACTTACATGAGTTAAACCAAGGTCTATAGACCTTGGGTCATAAACTATGAGCTATAAGTATATTCAACACATTCTCACTCACAGCGCGTCAAAAACAAACACTTGGTCAGCCACCATCCACGTCAGACCCCTGATGCCCAAAGTGCCCTTTTTCGTTATGTGCGAAAAGGGTTTTTTCCCTTATTTGACTGCAGATCCCAATGCAGCGTAAAACTGACGTGATTGGATGTCCGCAGCCAGGGCACCAAACAAGCTCATTGTACATCACCTTAACCTTATCCTCTTATTTAACCTTATCTTCTTATTTAACCTTCCCCTCACCCCTATCCTAACCTTAACCATCTTGCTAGCGAACGCGTTAGTGATGTGTCGATCGCTCTAAAAGCCGGCTGTGAATGGCTGTAACGGCTGTGAACGGCTGTAAAAGTGAACGGCAGGAGCCGCCTCGTCATTGGTCGAGTTTGGACCAAGCCAACGCGAGGGGGAGGTTTCAACTACCACGGTGGAGGTTTAAAGTAGAGGGTATGTGTACCCTCCCCCTCGCCAGATGGTATGTTCTAACGTTCCCATTGGGCGGCAAATACGAAAACTGACTGTCAGTCAGAGTCAGAATGCATGCGAAACAAACGCTTGATCACAGTGAGAGTAACGTTTTAGGTAGCAAGAGGGTTAAGGTTAGGTTGAGGGAGAGGGGAAGGTTATAAATAGTGAAACGTTAAGGTTTAGGTGAGGTTCAATGAGCTGGTTCGGTGCGGAGCTGGTCCGGTGCCGCATTTAACGTATAGGTGCGGTTAAACGAGCTGGTTCGGTGCCGCATCGGTTAAATGAGGGTTAAGGTTAGGATGAGGGTGAGGGGAAGGTTATAAATAGTGAAACGTTAAGGTTTAGGTGCGGTTAGATGAGCTGGTTCGGTGCCGCATCAGCGGTTATCTAATCACGTCAGTTTTACGCTGCATTGGGATATGCAGGGAAAACCCCCTTTTCGCACATAAGTAACGAAAAAGGGCACTTTTGGCATCTGGGGTCTGACGTGGAGGGTGGCTGACCAAGCGTTTGTTTCTGAAGCTTAGAGTGTGAGAATGTGTTGGTATATTGTTCTTTTTATACTGGGAATCAGGAGTTATTATAGTGATCATCTTGTTTCTTATTTAATAAAATCAACATGAATAGAAAAATCGTCCTAAATAATCGTGATCTCAATTTCAGTCACAATAATCGTGATTATTATTTTTGCCATAATCGAGCAGCCCTACTAAGAGGTGCATTCATCTGTGGATCTCCTTTGATCCGCATTAGTGATATTCTCAACACCAGAACAGTGAAGCAAAGAAACAGATTCCTGAGTTTGTTATAATTTTATTTATTAGGTGCATCTAACCTGTTATATTTTTCTCTGAAATGAGATCAAATCAGTGCTTCTATGGGTTGTCTCCACTCTGCACTAGAAAATTTTACTTTATTTAGAGACGTGCGGAGAAAAAAACTACAAGATGCAGAAAAAAGGATAAACCTCCAACCTTCATACTGTCAGCAATAAACGCAGCAAAACTTAACTTTCATGACCAAAAAAAAAAAAACCCCATAAAAATTATTCAGTACATCAGGAGAGCAGGAACAAGTCTTATTTCTGATTTTAAATTTTTACTTCAATTCAAACTATTTAGACTTTTGTGTTTTCATCACATTTAGCTTGTATTTTATTTAAAATATCATCAGCTTTACAGGTTAGCTGTTCCTGTGCGCTTAAAAAGTTACTGTAAATCCTCTAATACAGGCCCAGGCCTGTATTTGACTCAAGCTCATCAAGCTCCAGGCCTTTATTGGAAGGAGGGCCAGTATTAGAGGCAGGCCTCTATTTCTATTTGAGCAAAATGAACTAATGGTTCGCTGGAGTTTTTGACAATTAAAATTGCGCTCACATTTTCAAAGTTAAACACATTTCTTTTAACAATGGTAGTTTCTGCTTCAGCCCTCTCCCCCCTCCCCCTGCGCAGCGGACGCAAACTCACTGACGCGCTTGCAGCCTCTCGGAGTTCCTGCTGCTCTAAACATTAAAATAATTATTTCATTTTCTGTTCCTCACTTCTGATTACCTTCAATGGTGTCTGTTTGTTGCAACCAGGTACAAAAACTAACTTGTTTTTATTTGACTATTTTTCTGTCCTGCCTGTTTATCATCTTCCTGCATCTCCTCTCAATCCTAAAGAGAAACTGCTAACTGGGTTCATATATATTCACCTTATGAGTTACCTTTGAACTGCAGTTCTAAAAGATCTACCAGAAAACATTAAAGGAAATGAACCGACATGAACGATCGCGTGTTAAATTAGTTTTTGAGGTGGCGACACCTGATTTGATAACGTTACTGTGGCCGTGCTCAGGACGCAGATCTACCGACTGCAAAAACAGCGGAGTGCTCCCTGCTTGGCGGCCGCATCAGTGATCGGTGCGTCACCGGAGGACAAGGTGATGCGCCCCGCTCCACAGCAGCGAAACCCACGATCGCGTGTCAGTACTGACGCTCTGGCACAGCGCGTTGCCCCCCCAGAAAGCAGGAGCTTGTCACCTGCTGACAGCAGGCTGCTGTCTTTTCCGAGGGCTGCATCTTGCCGGTCATTATCACGTGACAGCGACTAGTCAATGACAGACATAAAAAGTCACTATAGTGAAGTCGACTAGTTCATACAACCCTTATTGCTCCCCAGTGTTCTGCAGCGCACGTTCTCTTTGAACTTGATATCAAATTTTCGCCTCCTCTTCGTCTCCGCACGGTTAAAGTTACCCTCGCGGTCTATCACTGGCAAATCAAAAGTGAGACGATGACACAACCGCCCCCGTACTTGCTTGTTACCACATTCCACCCGGCCACAATAAGAGACCAGCCATTATTCACCTCCGCCGACTCCGACACCGGCCAAAATATGAGACCCGGCCGTTAAATGAATACAGGCCTGTATTAGAGGATTTAGGGTATGTTACTTAACTTCTAAAAAAAATGACCAAATCATTCACATGAAGTAGATTTGTTATTCATTATCTGAAAGTATCCGATTAGTTTAAAAAACTAAATATGTTTTGTTTAATTTGGTTTTCAGAATGTCACTAGTTTACTTATACTTTTAATATATATACTGATGTACTGAAATACAGAGAAATCAACTTGTGAGTACAATGCATGTTAATACAGTAAGCATAGCATGTTTAACATAAGCACATTCACACATGGAAAGTATCAATGTAAATAAATCATATGGCAGTAACTCTGCTGTACTTTCATTGTGTAAAAGTAGCTCACGGGCCAAAAAAGGTTGGAGACCCCTGCAATAGATCGTTCAGCCCTAGTGGATGCTTAGATGATTGTTTAAAGTTTTATTTCAGCTAAACCTTCGTCCACAGAGCTCACAAGCAAAAGGCTTCTGTCCTTTATGGACTCTTTTGTGACCGTTTAAACTGATCTTTTGGGTGAATCTTTTCCACCGAACTCACAGGCGAAAAGCCAGTGTGGACTCTCATGTGTTTGTTTAAATGTGTCTTTTGGCTAAATCTTTTTACACAGAGCTCACAAGCAAAAGGCTTCTGTCCAGTGTGGACTCTCATGTGACTGTTTAAATTTGACTTTAAGCTAAATTTCTTTTCACAAAGCTCACAAGGAAAGGGCTTCTCTCCAGTGTGGACTCTCATGTGTTTGTTTAAACTTCCCTTTTCACTAAATCTATTAACACAGAGCTCACAGGCGAAAGGCTTCTCTCCAGTGTGGACTCTCATGTGTTTGTTTAAACTTCCCTTTTCACTAAATCTATTAACACAGAGCTCACAGGCGAAAGGCTTCTCTTCAGTGTGAACTCTCATGTGACTGTTTAAAGTTGACTTTCGGCTAAATCTTTGTCCACAGAGCTCACAAGCAAAAGGCTTCTCTCCAGTGTGGACTCTCATGTGTTTGTTTAAACTTCCCTTTTCACTAAATCTATTACCACAGAGCTCACAGGCGAAAGGCTTCTCTCCAGTGTGGACTCTCATGTGTGTGTTTAAACTTCCCTTTTCACTAAATCTATTACCACAGAGCTCACAAGCAAAAGGCTTCTGTCCAGTGTGGACTCTCATGTGTGTGTTTAAACTTCCCTTTTCACTAAATCTATTACCACAGAGCTCACAGGCGAAAGGCTTCTCTCCAGTGTGGACTCTCATGTGACTGTTTAAAGTTGACTTTCCGCTAAATCTTGTTCCACAGAGCCCACAAGCAAAAGGCTTCTGTCCAGTGTGGACTCTCATGTGTGTGTTTAAACTTCCCTTTTCACTAAATCTATTACCACAGAGCTCACAGACAAAAGATTTCTCTCCTGTGTGGACTCTTATGTGACGGTTTAAATGTGTCTTTCGGCTAAATCTCGTTCCACAGAGCTCACAAGGAAAGGGTTTCAGCCCTGTGTGGACTCTCGTGTGACTGTTTAAATGTTCCTTTTGGCTAAATCTCGTTCCACAGAGTTCACAAGGAAAGGGCTTATCTCCAGTGTGGACTCTCATGTGACTGTTTAAAGTTGACTTTCGGCTAAATCTTTGTCCACAGAGCTCACAAGGAAAGGGCTTATCTCCAGTGTGGACTCTCATGTGACCGTTTAAAGTTGTCTTTTGGCTAAATCTCGTTCCACAGAGCTCACAAGCAAAAGGCTTCTCTCCTGTGTGGACGCTCATGTGTGTGGTTAAATTAGTCTTTTGGTGAAACCTTTGTCCACAGTGCTCACAGGCAAAATTCTTCTGCTTTGTCTGGACTCTCGTGTGTTTGTTTAAATGTGTTTTTTGGCTAAAGGATTGAAGCCTGGCAGCATCAGTCTCCTTATTCAAATGGAGATGCTCTCCCTCCATACTAGACCAGAGTTTCTCCTGTTCCTCCTTCTTGTGGAGAAAATCTAGGTGCTGGTGGTTGACACGAGCACTCTGTTCTTCTGAAGCTTCTTATTTAACCAGAACCACCTGTTGAAAATCTGTAGAAAACACAGAAGCATATTATGTGAATTACAGACAGCTGTAACTGTGTTTTCACACATATAACAGTTGTATTTTTTCTTTAAACTGACAGTAGAATGAAATGTATTTACAACTGGAAACTGAACTTTGAGCCTCTATAAATCATATGAGCCTTAACCCTCAGGCTTCACTTTAATTTTCATACAAAAATGTTCGCTTGTAAAAGTGGCTATAAAAATGTATGCATTAATGTTTTTTTTTGTTTTACTTTTTTTTCATAGATCTGTTGAACAACTTCAGCCCTGCTCAAACATAAAAAAAATTCAATCATTTTGAAGATTTTAACCCCTGAAATTCCACTTTGAATACTCAAAAGTCATTGATGTAATTTATGAAGAAAAATAAAAAATAAAAAAAAAAACAGCACAGAGTTATTTTCTAAAAAAACAGGTAACGAAACCGTTTCTGTGTTTTAAAAAGAACGACAGCATGGAATTAGCCTTGGATATGTCAAGAGTCTAGCAAAATATCACATTTTATGCTTTTTTAGTTTTTGTGTAGCAGCAGATTTAAAATTTACCACCCTCTTGTGCCTGTTATGGACAAAAACGTCCCATTGACTTCAATGCAAACCACAGTTTTTGATCCTGCATTATCTGCAGCAAATATTCATGCTTTCTGTGATGTAATGGTTTCATTTTGGACAAAAGTAGTCAAATTTATGATTTTTACTGTTCACCACCAAATTCTGTCATTTCTTCATATGTTGCCCAGGCGAGAAAGTTTACACATTTCTATAGATCTTCTGCTGTTTTTATTGAAGTCAGAAGCTCAGCAAGTAAACAAAACACAGTTTCACTCTCCTACTGAACATCAAAGGGTAGAAAACAAAAACAATATGTTAATGCACCTGGCTGGAGCTCAGGCACATCCAAACTCTTTGTAGTTCAGTTTGTTATGAAAGGGCAGAAGTGTGAATGCATGCATGTGAAGTGACTCCTTGGAGCTCTTCGGTCATCTCCAAAATGACACGTTTTCCCTGGCCGACCTCTGCAGCCTCACCAGCAGCTTTCCCTGTGTTAACCTGACACTTGCAGGCATAGGAAGTGGCAACATCAGCAGTGACCCAGAGTTTCAATCCGTACTTTGCTGGTTTACTTGGCATATGTTGGTGAAACTTGCACCTGCCTCTGAAAGGGACAAGCTGCTCATCAGCACACACATCTAACCCAGTGTTGAAAAGCATTTGGAGGCGATGGGTCCACATGTCCCAAATCGAGCGGATAGGGGCCAGCTTGTCCTGCCTGAGACGGGAAGGCCTGTTCAGCTCATCATCAAACCGGAGGGTGGAGTTGATCATCTTGAATTTGGTGTGACTCATGGTGGCCAGGAAGATTGCACGTCCACAGTGGTCATCCCAAAGGCTGCAGGTGGATTCCCCTTTGGACTGGTACACACCAGCCAAAATCAGGAGCCCAATGTATGCTCACACTGCGATGTCATCAATATCCCACCAGTTCTTCACCACACGTCTTCCATTTAGATTTGTCATGTTGACAATGATTTCAGTCATTTCTGGAGTAAAGAATAAATCAAAGGAGGATACCACATCGTAAATACGTGTGATGGCGTAACGTGTTGGCCCAGGATTCAAACATCTTGCAGCAGGAACATAGTGGGAAGTTTCTGCGTTAGTAGGAAACCAGACTTGCCCACTTTTAGAAATCCATCCTGGAGCAGGATCCGTTGTCCTCCCTTCTCTTTCACTGGACAGGTCAGGAGAAGAAGTCAAGGAAACAGAATGGTCTGACTCCACCTCAAAGTCCACTGAAGATGTTTCACTCTCCTCATTTTCTCCAGGAGTATCAGGCTGCAGGAGCTGATCCAGAACTTGTTCCACAGAGAGATGCCTCTTCATTTAGCTCCGTGGCTTTCACAGAAGTGAAATGACCAGATAACCAGACTACAAGGAGTTTGAATGTGGCAGGTGCATAAACATACTAATTGTTTTTGTTTTCTACACTTTGAAGTTCAGTAGGAGAGTCAAACTGTGTTTTATTTACTTATCAGAGGTCAGGTTGGCCTTTTGACTTCAATAAAAACAGCAGAAGATCTAAAGAAATGTGTAAACTTTCTCGCCTGGGCAACATATGGAGACATGACTGAATTCTACTTTTGTCCAAAATGAAACCATAACATCACAGAAAGCATGATTATTTGTTGCAGATGATACAGGATCAAAACCTGTGGTGTGCATTAAAGTCAATGGGACGTTTTTGTCCTCTAATGGCTCGAGTGTATAGTAAATTTTAAATCTGTTGCTATGTAAAAAGTATAAATGCAAAAAATTCTCAAGTTTAGATATTTCAAAACATAATCAAGACTGATTTGTACTAAACACCCCAGGCAAAAAAAAAAGTCTTTTCTAGAAAATAACTCAGTTTTAGTGTTTTTTTCATGAATCGGGGTGATGTGGGTGTGTTTGGAGGACTTGGTCAGAAGCAGAGCACAGGCGTTCTGAACCACCTGTAGATGGTTCAGGGAGGTTCTGCTCAGACACGTGAAAAGAGAGTTACAGTAGTCTAAGCGTGAGGAGATGAAGGTGTGGAGAACTGTCTCAAGTTCAGAGCGGGACAGAATGGGATTCAGCTGTAAGGGAAAAATGAGGTTCTTACATTTTAATTAATGAGCCGTAAGGCGTGGGATTCCATAGGAAATATGAAATCCGCCTCATGGATCGGGGTTGGTTAAACCAGAAGATCGGGTCTTTTTAATGCAGAGATCATGTAACCGTTATGTATTCACTCAGAGACAACAGAATAGAACGAGTCAAGTTTAAAGGTTAAGAAATTTTATTACTAACAATTAAACTAGGCTCATTTAAGAACTAAGTGTATAGTGCGACTAAAAATGGATGAGGCGGTGAATGGATGACGTGTCATGTAAATCAGAACCCGCAAATCCAAAGAAGCGATTAGTTCTGATGGGAACTGAAGATGTTGGTTTGGAATAAGCTGGGGTTCGTTTCAGAACTGCATGAGACACCATTAAGCCGGGCCTACCTGCCTGGTGGAAGTCCTCTGTGAGATCAGGAATGCCGAGGTCCACCCGGACCCTCTCTGGACACCGAGCTGGTAGCAGAGCTGCGGTTCCGACTAGGGATTGGGCAGATCTGATCCAGTATCGGAATCGGACTCCGATTTGGACTTAAATCACGGATCGGAAAATTCCGACACAATCTGCACAAATTTCCGATCCAGAATTATCTCTTGTGTAATGTCTAAATAAGACATCCCGGGCTGGGAGGCGTCCTCTGTGCCCAGATGACGCGGCTCCTTTCAGGAAGTCCACTCACCGCAGTTTACAGGTAGCTGGCTAGCATGAGCAGCGCCAAACTTTTATCCACGAAATGTCCGCTGTGTGGAAATATTTTATTCTGGAAGCTCCGCAAAGCAAGAACCTCCGTCGCAACTTTCAACACTACTAATTTAATCAAACATTTGAAAATACACCACCCGAGGGAGCACGAGGAGTTTTTAACGAGGGGGCAGAAAGGAAAAAAGCGACACCAAGAATCACTACTGGAGTCATTCAAGAAGCAAAGTTAACTCCCCGCAGACAACGTTAAAGCCATGGGGATTACAGAAAAGCTGCTCAACTTCATTGTACTTGATGACCAACCGCTATCAGTGGTGGAAAATGAGGGATTTCGCAGCCTGATTGAACACTTGGAGCCAAGGTACAGTTTACCCTCCAGGACATATTTATCAGACAGCGCTACCTGAACTATACAACCGAGTGTCAGCCAAGTTAGCCGGGAAGCTGAAAGGAGTTCCAGCCCTGAGCTTCACTACAGATATTTGGACTTCAGATGTCCTCCCAATGTCACTGATAAGTCTTACAGTGCACTGGGTTGACTCCGGGACACATCACTTCTGTTGCGCGGTGCTTCAGGTCAAAAAGTGCGGGGTTCACACAACCGAGCTACAATCGCAGCCGCCATTGCCGAGATGCTAAATAACTGGGGGATTCCTCTGGAAAAGGTGCACGTCATTCTACGGGACAACGCAAGTAAGCCACTTTGGAAGACATGGCAGTTCCTAGCCTGGGACGTTTTGCTCACACGCTGCAGCTTGTAGTGCATGAAGGGCTGATGCTGCAACGCAGTGTTAGCGATGAATTAGCAAACAGCCGAAAGATTGTCGCACATTTCAAGCATTCCCAACTGGCGCAGTCTCGCTTGGAAGACCTGCAGCGTGAAATGCAGGGAGCGGGAACCACATCCACTCCAGCTCGTCTCGTTCAAGACGTCCAGACAAGATGGAATAGCTCTTTCTACATGGTCAAGCGCCTTCTGACTGAGAAGCGAGCTCTCTGCGCTTATGCTGCCGACTACAACTTACCCGCAACTTTATCAGCCAACGAGTGGGGTTTACTGGAAAAAACTGTGACCGTGCTGGAACCGTTCGAGGAGTTGACGAGGAAAATCAGCTCAGCGACCTCCACTGCAGCCGACGTTATCCCAGCCGTCGCTGTTTTAAAACGTCTGCTAGCAGATGAGAACAGTACCGACAGCGGCATCAAAACAATGAAGAGCACACTCCTCCAAGCTGTCAACAGGCGATTCAGCAGCATCGAAAGTAAATCCCTCTACGCTGTTGCGACTCTACTGGATGCTCGTTACATGGACAGGTGAGGCATATTTTATTAATGCATTAATTATTAATATTGTCTAAGTTTAAATATAATGTGTATTATCTCTATGGGTCTGGCAGGCAGGCCAGGCTCTTGCAGCAGCAACAAATAAAGTTGTACTCAACCCATTTTGTTTTTTGTGCCAGATTCTTTACTGGGGGAGAAGCTGCCAGGATGGCAAAGAATCTCCTCAAGCAAGAGATGGAGCGAGCGCTGGCCAAGGCATCAGCTGACAAAGCAGGGACAAGGAAGCCAGAACCAGAGCCAGCAGAAAAGGTTGCTCACGTGGATGCCAGTTCTCCTACCACAAGTAAGAGTAGCTTTAGCAGTCTGTATGACAAAATTCTGGAGGAACATGATGAACCTGCACAAGGTACCCAGGCAGCAGTTATCCAGATGCAAATGTACTTGAAAGAACCAACAATGGGTGAGCTAGACAGCCCTTTCCAGTACTGGGCAGACAACCATGCCCGCTTTCCTCTCCTTGCTGCTGTTGCAGTAAAGTTCCTGAGAGCTCCTTCAACGAGTGTTGAAAGTGAAAGACTGTTTAGTACAGCATCCAATATTGAGGATGAAAAAAGGAAACGTCTGACAGCAGAAAGAGCAGAAATCCTTATATTCCTCAGACAGAACCTGTCATTGTTTAAGTGAGATTAGATGAACAACATTTAAGTACCTCACGCATTTACATTTTTTTTTTTTTCAAGAATAGTTCCGGACTCTGACAGACTGTTAACTTTATCTAAGTCACCTTCAATGCCAAATCTCCAATGCTTGAATTGTACTTTTCAGATGCACACTGTTGATGTTTGTTTACAATGCACTTTTCTTTAATTCAAAATGTTTAACATTTGAAAACTTTAGTTTTTTTTACTGCTACATGAGCAAGGACTTACTGAATTTGTTTCAGATGCACTTTTTTTTTGATAAAGTGATTTTTTACTTGAAAATTACATTTTTGATGCTACAAAAGACTGTGAAATTAATTTGTGGGGATTGGATAAAGCAGCCCTCTATTTTATTTGAAGTAGTTTTATGGAAGTTTACCCTTTTCATTTCATGTTTGACACTTTAAAAATGTGTTACTGCCTAGTGTGATTATTTGGACCTGGGCTGTTTAGTTCAAATGAAAGGGTTTGTTTCTTTGATTGTGCATATTGCACTTGTGTCCAGTAACCCTGCCTTGAAATTGAATAAATTTCAATTTGAAACATTAGTTGCTTTTTTTTAGGATAGACAATTAGTTGTTTTATGACCTCACTTATCTCAACTTATCTTTTGGGACACGGTGCTGGGCTCTTACTTGTAGGGCTTTCTCACAATTACATATTATTCTTGTATAAAAGAGTTTATTATAGCCTTATAAAATCAACCATAATAATAATCATAATGACATTAAAACAAATATTCCTCTAGTATCGAAACAATATCGGTATCGGTAGATATCCAAATTCAGGTATCGGAATCGGAAGTGAAAAAATGTGGATCGATGCATCCCTAGTTCCGACCAGACCCGTCTCGAGATACTGCCGGCACACGACTCTTGTCTTGGCGTCTGTTCAGACCCAGTGTACTGAATGTTTGCACTGATTGCCGATCACGCTTCAACTGAGTTGTCCTCGGTCAGAAGGATTGGCACTCCACAGTGATGTAGTCCAAGTAGTTTTATTAAAGAGGTAGCAGATGACATCAACAAGTGAGGCAATTGCATTCCCATCTATGAATGCAGGTAAAGGGAGTGTGAGTGTGCAGGAGTATGTGGGTGTGGTAATCTGTTAACAGAAAGAACAACCATTAGTATGAATAGCAGTGTACCGCTTATACAGCACTGTGGGTTTCCAACATGAAGTTATATGATCTGCTATAAACCTCATGGCCACTAGATGCCACCCTAAGACCATACATGAATTTATTGTTCGTATATGCATTAGCAAACAGTATCTCTACAGGTCAGATAATAAACACAGAAAATAGTTCTATCCACCTCCAACCACCATACTTGATAGTGAGTCGTATATGGAATGCCATATAAGTTGCAACCAAGGCTGCCTGAAGTAGGCCAACAAAACCTGCAACTTAGCAACAGGACTAGCTTCTTAGTGATGTACACAGAGCAACTCACAGATAAAGTCAAATAAGCATCAATCTCATCTTACAATACTCACATGATAAACACGCACACCAAGGGTAACTCACACAGGAACGCACGAGAAAAACGCTGATCATCCAACACCTTTCAGCTGTGCTGAACTGCGCTAAACACGTTCCCAACGGGAAGTACAGATACCGAGGTGCATCATGGGTAATGTAGTCTAAACGGTGTTCACAAACATTATTCCTCTGGAAAGCGGACTTTTAACAGCCGCCCCTGTATTTGTATGGATACAAATACACACATGCTAAAGTCAAGCTATTGCGGAACAGTATCATCTAAGTCCTCAGGGACTTTGGGGAGTCCCACTAGCTTAGTCACCGGGCGAACATAGAGACTGTCTTTAACCTTGACTTCGGCAGCCCGAACAACACCATCAGTCCCTGGGAAAACTTGGGAAATGGTACCCACAGGCCAGAGGCCTCTAGGCAGATTAGAGTCTACAATCATAACAGCTTGTCCCACGGTCATGTTGTCAGTGGACTTCCTCCATTTCTGTCGGAGTTGCAGTCCTGGGAGGTAGTTCTGTATGAACCGCTTCCAGAAGTGGTCACTGATGACCTGGCTGTGTATCCATCTTCTGGTCGAAAGAGTGCCTGAGGGGCCGTAGACTGCCTGGGGTAGTGCTGAATCACGCCGCCCCATCAAGAGAAGATTTGGTGTGATGGGATCTGGGTCGGCTATGTCAGCCGATGCATAGCCAAGCGGTTTTGAGTTCAAAATGCCCTCAACCTCTATGAGAGCTGTGAGTAGGACTTCTTCTGCCACAACTTGGTCCTTCAGGACTACTTGCAGAGCTGACTTCACTGCTCTGATTTCCCTTTCCCAGGCTCCTCCGAAATGAGGCGAGTGTGGGGGATTGAAGCAGAAGTTGATAGCCTGCGTGGCTAGTTGCTGCTTGAGGTCAGGCTCCATGTTTTCAAATGCTGCTTGGAGTTCTCTATGACCACCTCTGAAATTGGTTCCTTGATCAGACCACATCTCGTATGGCTTTCCTCTGCGTGCGATAAATCTGCGTAATGACATAAGGAAGGAATCGGTGTCAAGACTAGGGAGGAGATCGAGATGCACACATCTAGTTGTAAGACACTTGTAGATAATTCCCCAGCGTTTCTCTCTTCTACGACCTATCTTTATCGTGTATGGCCCGAAACAGTCTACGCCCGTTGACCAGAATGGGGGTTTATAGAGTCTCATCCGTGAGGAAGGTAAATCAGCCATCTTGGGTGTAGAAGGTGTGGCGCGCCATCTCCTACAGTCCACACACTGGTGCTGGTGTTTCTTAATGGCTTGACGTCCTCTGAGAATCCAATAGGTGCGCCTTATCTCCGCAAATAGCCTCTCTGCACCTGGGTGAAGGAGCTGGTCATCATAAGTCCTTATGATGAGCTTGGTCAGGGGATGTTCAGCTGCTAGTACGATGGGATGAATACTGTCTGGATCTAAGTCTGCGGCTTGACGAAGGCGGCCTCCGACTCTGATAAGACCAGTAAGACTGTCATATTCAGGGGACAGCGTGCTAAGACGGCTGTCTGAGCGGACTGGGCGACTGGTCTGGAGGGCTTTGGTCTCCTCTGTGAAGCTGTCGGTCTGAGCTGAGCGGAGCAGCATGGTCTTGGTTTCCAGTTGCTCCGCGGCTGTAATAGGAGTGTCGGCCGCCCCGTGTAGGGTCCGGTACGTAGCAGCAATCAGCTTATCTAGTGAGGCATACTGCATTGGATCCGGCAAGGTTGGGGATACAGAAGCGTGCCCACAGAATGCAGTCCTCCTGAGCTCTGCTTCATTGCAGGCTGGAAACACTGTTGGCAGCTTAGGCCAAGTGTCAGCGGCTTGTAATAGGAAAGGTGGACCATGTGACCAACGATTGGGGGCTGTTAGGTCAGCGAGATGTTTCCCTCTGGTGATGTCATCAGCAGGATTGAGCTCAGAGGTCACATATCGCCACTGTTCAGGAGATGTCAGCTCCTGTATTTCACAGATTCGAGTCCCCACAAATACCTTATAGCGACAGGAGCTAGATTGGATCCACTGCAGCACCGTGGTAGAGTCTGTCCACAGGTAAATCGACTGTATGGGAACAGTAAGCTCTGTCTGGAGTAATCTGGCCAATTGGGCTCCTGTGAGTGCTGCGCAAAGCTCCAACCGGGGCATTGACACCTGCTTGCGTGGGGCCACTCTGGAGCGAGCCATCAGGAATGATGTGATGATGGGCCGTTGCCGCTCAATTACCCTGAGATAAGCCACAGCCCCATAAGCCTTTTCCGATGCGTCACAGAATACGTGAGCTTCATATGTCACATTGCTGGAGTTATGAGGAGGAGCGTAGCAGCGGGGAATGATGACATGCTGAAGGTGTGACAGTTCGCCTTCCCACTCAAGCCAGGACTGAAGTAGATTCCCTTCGATGGGCTCATCCCACCCTCTTTCTGTGCTCCACAGGGCCTGTACAATCAGCTTGGCCCTTGTAGTGTAGGGACAAATATACCCTAGTGGGTCATACTGGGTAGCTAGTACCTTGTACACATTGCGCAGCGTGACCGTGGAGTAGGTGATAGGGCGGTGCTTATATCCCAGGACATTTGTCGGACAGTGCCAGCTGAGTCCTAACGTTGACTCTTGTGAGTCGAGACCTTTGAAGTTCAGCCAAAGTTCACAGCTCTCTGATCGAGCTGAAGCGGGCAGATGAGCAACTACTTCGGGCACGTTGCTCGCCCACTGTCGTATATCAAATCCTCCCTGAATGAGTAAATCTCTCATCCGGTCGATGAGCTGTTTTGCCTCTTCTGGGTTGAACAGGGACTGTAAACAATTATCCACGTAGAAGGCTGTGTGGACTGAGTCACAGATGTCTTTGTGGGTTTCTTTGTGCTCCCTTGCATGTCTCTGTAGGGCGAACGTAGCACAGCAGGGGCTACATGTCGTTCCGAAGGGCAAAACTCTCCACTCATATATGTCTGGGGGCCGATCCGTTTCACAATCCCTCCACAGAAACCGTAGCAGGGGACAATCCTCTGGGAGCAGCCGAACCTGATGAAACATGGCTTTGATATCTCCACTCACGGCTACAGGATGTTGACGGAAGCGGAGTAATACCCCCAGCAGAGTGGGTCCCATGGGAGGTCCTGGTAAGAGGCAGCGGTTCAGGACGGACCCCTGAAACTCAAACGAACAGTTGAAGACCACTCTAGCCTTATTGTTGTGATGTACTATGTGGTGCGGTACATACCATGACTCAGAAGAGCTATGTGTCTCATCTGGGCTCAGCTTAGCAACATAGCCAGACTCTACTAACCTGTGGATCTCCTGGTTGTATGTATGGGTCAGATCAGGGTTCTTGGCCAGCTTACGTTCAGTAGATCTGAGGAGGCCCTTTACTGCTTCAGGGGAGACACACAGACGTGGAAAGTCTCTTCTTCTCAGCAGAGGAGTGGCATATCTCTCGACACCATCTACTGGGACTCTGAGGGTCTTTGTTTCCAACATAGCCACTGCCTCTCTGTCCTCCTTTGACCGTGTGACCTCCTTCTCTGTCCTATAGGGGGGAACATCTAGTTGCCACAAACGCTTCACATCTTGATGCAGGGCCTCTGCAGGAGAAAGACACATGTTCAGGCACTGCAGCTCCCCCTCAGATGTAGGCATACTACTGGCTGGCCCCTGGATGGCCCATCCGAGCTTGGTGCAGACAGCTACTGGCCCTTTAGATGACCCCCTAAGGACAGGACGGACAGGGGTGATGAGATGAGCATTATCTGAGCCAAGTAGCACCAAAGGTTGGACCTGGTTAAATCCTTTGATCTGGACTTTCTGCAAGTGAATATACTTCTTCTTCAGCTGTTCAGCTGGACATGACTGAGTAGCTAGACTCAGCTGGTCGGCTGTGAATGCATGTGTTACTTTGTACCTCACTTTGGGCTTAGCTCTCGGTGACACCTGAAATGAGACAAAGCCTCCCTTCATCTGGATTACATCTCGACGGATAGTTCGCAGTGCGAGTGTTGCTTCCTCCTGCTCCAAACCTAGAGATTCAACTGCCGCAGGAAGCACAACAGTCTTTTCTGAGCCGTCATCAAGCACAGCAAATGTGTCCAGAGATTTGCCACCATGATGTAGTTGAATTGGTACTACTTTAAGCATGACTCGACCTGAGTGACTTGAATAGTCTAGGTAAACCATACTAGTACTCACAGTTAGTATGTTAGGGTCCCGCTTCTTGGCCTCAACCAGGTCATGGAGCACAGACAAATGCTGGTCACCACAGGTGCTGCACGGCTTCTTTAGAGTACACTGCTCTGGAGAATGTTTACGGCCACAGCGCCAGCATTTGGCCTTCTCAGTAATCCAGGTAGCCATAGCTTTGAGGTCTAGCCCTTTAAATCCATCACAGCCATTCAGATAATGCTCTGTCCCTTCACAGTATGGACAATAAGGTTTGAACTTCTGTCTCTTCTTAGGTTGGACTGTCGGATTGGGAGCTGTAGATCCTCCCCCTGGTCTTAGCTTGGCTTGGGCTGGATTTGGGCCGTAGTAGATGGAAGCAGATTTGCTGTGTGACTTGGGCCCTGCTAAGGCTTTGAGTAGGTTCTTCTCTGGGCGTGGCCTGTCAGAGGGCATGTGAGAGGCTTGTCTGGATAGCTGAAGGACTTGGGATTTCCGTTCAAGCCATTCTGAGAAGTCGTACATATTGTATGTTCGGCTGCTGCCAGTGCGGATGATCCCCCGGGTAATACAGTACTCGATGAAGCTGTCTCTGTAGTTCAGGGGGAGTTTGGTAAGCAGTCTGTCCACATGTGAACCACAATGAAGCTCACTGGCTGCTACTTCATCCATGGTACTGAGAAGCCCGACCAGGCTGGACACGGACAGGGACAGGTCCTCAATAGCTTGAGAGTCTCCTGTTCTAATAGGGGGGCAGTTCAATATAGTGCTAAGCTCACTTTGGACTAACTGCCTTGGCTGTCCATACCTCTGCTCTAGCGCCCTCATTGCACTAGTATAGGGAGTGCGGTCGTGGATGTAGCGCTTGGCTACCTGTAGGGCGCTGGGATATTCTAGATGATCTAATAGGACCTGAAACTTGTAATCTTCTCCCAGATGAGAATGTGGCCCTAAGGTGCTGTCCAGCCCTTTCTTTAATAAGGCGAAGTCACTCTCTCTGCCCGTCCTGAAGACCACCAGCCTAGGCTTTGGAATACCATATGAAGATGCCACCATCATTTCCATCAGGTTTGGTAGAGGCGCTCTGGCTGATTCAGATGTGGCAACCCGTGGATTATATTGTCCAGCAGAGGAAGATGATGAATGGTCACTTCCTGACGGGTCGGGAACGTGGTGGTTGCCAGCTGGATCAGGCAAAGCTTCAGGATGCAATATGTTGGATACAGGGTGCTGAGCGTCTGCCCACTGTGATGGCTGGGTCACAGGTTCTGGTGGACGTGGAAGTTGGTAGGTCGGATCAGCAGGACGCGGTGGTTGCTGCAAGTACACAGGATTAGCTGGAGGTCTAGCTTGGAAGACGGGAGCAGCTGGATGTAACGTCTGCTGCAGACTCACTGGATCCCCAGCCTGTGATAGCTGCTGTACTGCATGATAATCACGTTGTCTTGGCTGATTAGCTGAGGCTGTGTGATGTGATATCTGCACCTGGCCTGGCCGGTTTATAAGGAGATGATGTTCCGATCTCTGGTACACGAAGGGTGTAGCGGTGCATCGGCCAAGTCTCCTGAGTGGCGTTGATGCAGCTACATAAGTGGCAGGGTGCAGCACTGGCTGAGTGTGAAAACTCACTTTACGAGGAGGTGATGGAGCAGATGCCTTCACTGGCGTCAGCATGTTCGCAGGTGTTGTGGTGTCCTGCTCTGGTACAGGTAGTGGCTCTATGGTGCGATGTATCACCTCACTGCTAGGTTGTGAAGCTTGCTCCAAACGCTCCACCCGCTTCAGTAATGTTCCATGAGTGTCCTCCATAGACGCTTGAAGGTGATTCATGGTTTGGAGGACACTGTTCCATGCGGATTCCATCCTCTGCCATCTCCCTTCCTCTTCATTGTCAGAGCTACTGGAACTACTTGGAGCTCTAGATGGGTTGGGTGGCTCAGTTAGGTTGTGCTCATAGTCCACCAGATATCCCGGGAGTTTCCTCTCCCGTTTTGGACGGGGGCTACTCGATGCACCTCCATCCTGAGGGTTTTCCATCTCATGAACTCAGCCAAGGCAAATCCGGCTCGAAGGACCACTTGTACTGAATGTTTGCACTGATTGCCGATCACGCTTCAACTGAGTTGTCCTCGGTCAGAAGGATTGGCACTCCACAGTGATGTAGTCCAAGTAGTTTTATTAAAGAGGTAGCAGATGACATCAACAAGTGAGGCAATTGCATTCCCATCTATGAATGCAGGTAAAGGGAGTGTGAGTGTGCAGGAGTATGTGGGTGTGGTAATCTGTTAACAGAAAGAACAACCATTAGTATGAATAGCAGTGTACCGCTTATACAGCACTGTGGGTTTCCAACATGAAGTTATATGATCTGCTATAAACCTCATGGCCACTAGATGCCACCCTAAGACCATACATGAATTTATTGTTCGTATATGCATTAGCAAACAGTATCTCTACAGGTCAGATAATAAACACAGAAAATAGTTCTATCCACCTCCAACCACCATACTTGATAGTGAGTCGTATATGGAATGCCATATAAGCTGCAACCAAGGCTGCCTGAAGTAGGCCAACAAAACCTGCAACTTAGCAACAGGACTAGCTTCTTAGTGATGTACACAGAGCAACTCACAGATAAAGTCAAATAAGCATCAATCTCATCTTATAATACTCACATGATAAACACGCACACCAAGGGTAACTCACACAGGAACGCACGAGAAAAACGCTGATCATCCAACACCTTTCAGCTGTGCTGAACTGCGCTAAACACGTTCCCAACGGGAAGTACAGATACCGAGGTGCATCATGGGTAATGTAGTCTAAACGGTGTTCACAAACATTATTCCTCTGGAAAGCGGACTTTTAACACCCAGCCTGGGTCAGTGGAGCTCTTAAGCCGGGCGTACACTGTGCGACTTTTTCACTCGCAGCGTTCAGCTTCAGCTCAAACTGTACGACTTCCTCGCAGAGCAGATCTCACGAGTCGTGTGCTCACACTGTACGACCCAGTTCTCGCATGCGACCTGACTGCTCACACTGTACGTCTGGTAGCAACACGTCGGCCCTAAAAATGTGCTAAAAATAGCAGTTTTTACTCAACACGTCAGACTTTTTTGTCTTGCCTGTTGTCCTTCGGGAGTGCTGCAGGAGGACACACAGGGATTTATGGGGTTTGGATGAAGAAAACGAAATAAAGAAAGTGAATCTGTGTTTTGTGATCAGTTTCATTTGACATGAACACGACAAACACGCTTTCTTGACAATCTTTGTGAGTAAAAAAACGTGTAGAAACAAAAACGAACAGCGTGTGTTATTAGGGAAATAGCGAGCGACCGGCGTTGATGCAGGATTGCGCGGGCATGCGCCGTGAGCGGTTCTGATACTTTTTTGGATCGTAGCTGCTCGCAGCGCCGCTTCAACAGTGCGATACCCTCACGAGGGACGAGCGAAATATTAAACACACCAGAAGTCCCTGCGACCTCACGACTGCTGATCGGTAGCTGGTCACGTGGTGTTAATCGCCCCTCGTAACCCCCTGTACACTACACGACCGCTCGGCGCAAAACTCGCCCCGATGTCGTGGCTTCTCGCACGACTGGAAAATCGGCTCAAAAAAGTGAAAAAGTCGCACAGTGTACGCCGGGCTTTATTCTGAAAGGAGCTGTTGTCGTTGCTTGTTGTTATAGCGACTGGATTTTCTCAGCTTGTCGTGGTTCTTTCGGTTGAAGAGTTAAAGTTCAGGATTGGCCACTCCGTCATTTTGCTCTGGAACGCTTTGAACTGCATTAGAGCTGACGTGGCATCTGTTTCATACCTCGGATGTTTTGGTTTATTGTTGAATGAAAATTACCAAACACCGTCAGAAGCACGCCTCCGTCAGATCTGTAAGATTCTGATTGGATCAGTGAAAAAATGTGTCAAGTCCTTTTAACACTACGTGAAATGAGTCCTGTTGAACCATTTAAAGTTACATTGCTTCATTTCTAAGATCATAATAAAATAATTAATATTTTAATTTCACAGGTCGGTCACATCTTGTTATATTGACTAACACTTTGATGGATTAGCTTTATTAAAATAGAGTTCTTTGATTAATCAAAAGGAAAGAATTCATTCTTCTTTCTTCTGTCTTCATGCTGGAATGTAAACAGTTTAGAAACGACTGTATGACCTTCAGGCTGTTTCAGACACACTGACACTGTGTCAAAAGGAAACAGCTGTTAGGGTAGAAATGGCTCCTTCATCACGTTACACAGCTTAGCAACGTTCCTGAGATGGAAGAAGGAAGAGCCAACAAGAGAACTGGCATGAGAATCCAGGGTGAGAGCTGGGTCAAAGGTCACGCCAAGATTCCTGACAGAGGGTTTGGTGTGAGAAGCAAGCTGACCAAGAGAGTCTCTGACTTTGGGAACCAGCTTCTCTGGAGCACAGATGAAGATCTCAGTCTTATCTTCATTCAGCTGTAGAAAGCTCCCACCATCCAGGTTTTAATGGAGTCTAAGCAGGAGAGTAACAGCTGCAGCGTAGACATCTCATGGGGCTTAAAGGAGATGTACAGTTGGATGTCATCCGTGTGAAGACGCTAGGAGACTCCTTTAAATGAGCTCAGCAGGTGCTGTAAAGGAAGCAGATAGAGCAGGGCCGTGCAGAGACCTTTGAAGGGGCGGGTGCTCAAAGTTAAAAAAGGGGCACATATACAGGGTTTTCCTGTATTCAAATTTGCGTGGCGGCCGCCTCCAGCTATTTTTGTGCCGCCCCAGCCTGATTTCACTCTGCCCCCAGCTATATGGATGTTACTGTAACTGCAGTTGCAGCGTTGCGCCACTACAGGGCACTGTACCAGCAGCGGTGCACCGAAAAGCGCTAAAACCGCTGCAGAAAAAGATCAAAATGTGCTTTTCTCGCTAGTTGGTACATACCTATGGTTGGTGCTATTAACGTCCTGATTTTCCCCCAGCTCTTCCATATCGGAGCAGGGCTGTAACTGTCTGTGCGTGTCTGTCTATTTTTAAACGTAGCACAGGTGCAACATCTTTGAATTACTATTTTCCCCAGAACTTTGTTGAACAAAAGTAAGTTACGTGTAAGAAAATGCTTTTTACTGGTGCACAGTGTGGTCATCTGGATGCAGTGGAGGAAAATAAAGGAACCAACAAAGGCACAAAGGCAGAACCGGTCCAAACTTTGGTTCAAAAGTGCAGCTACACGCAGATTAGCTAATGCTAAAGCTAACAGGTAGCAGTCTCGCGATCAAGTGGCGCACAGAAAAATATATGATGATGATGATCGTAAAACTATGAAAGACTAAACTCTACAAGCGGATGAAAAGTCCCCACCATCCTGTTTATTCTGCATCCTGCAGCACTACGGATCAGAACCGCTGCAGATACGGGTCACATTACGGCTACGAGACTATGGCAAGCCGTTGTAGTATATAATTCACAAACGCTTCTTTCTTTGAACATAATTTGAACTGGATTATTGCTAACCCGTACATAATAGACATGCCACCATTACATTGTTAGCTGCAGAAATTAAATGTTATTACCATTTCCAACACAAGTGCATGTTAATGAAATGCATTATATTTTACTGCATATATTTATGTGTTATTATGACTAAGATGAGTGTTATTAATACAAACCTAAAATGTTACTGAAATGTAGGTCAAATATATAAAAATATTTTAACTATAAATATCAGATGGGAAAAAGGAACTAAACACCAATCTGATGCATATTATTGAGCCTTTCATAATAAGAGTCTGTTATTTCAGCCTGATCATTTTGTTGTTTTATTTCATATTTTTTAGCAGCAAACCAGTTTTGTTTCACTTGAAACGTTGTCAAATGGAATATTCTATTAATCGCCAGAAGCTTAGATTAGAACACTTAACGAAAACATATTTAGCCTTTAAAAAAGTGAGGCAGTTGAATGCACAGAGTACGCATGTGCTGGCGCACGGTCAGGATGGTACCACCTCTGCCTCAGTCTGAGCCAGGAACAACCCTGATATAGAGCAAAGTTTTTAAACAGATTCACGATCCAACAAGTTAAAAAGTTCAGATAATGAGACCCTTGGTTTCAAACAACATAATGTAAACTAGGAAAATATGTCATTAATTAAGGTAACGTTATTTCATAAACAGTTGTTTTAGTTTTTAAAGCTGACTTATGTTACAACCACATTTTTGCCCCTGATCTGAATCCAAGTTGTTTGATTTTTGATTATCTTCCAATACCGAGTCCTGTTCTGATACCAGGTGGTGATGCAATGCATTAACAAAGAAGAAAATGGAGAAAGTCCCATAGTCATCATCACATACTGATCTCATTGGAGGGGAGTGGTGAGAAGCAGCAGTGGCTGGGCTCGGGAACTATTTGGTGGTTTTACCCCCAATCCAACCCCTTAAAGCTGAGTGTCAAGCAGGGAGGCATTGGGACCCATTTTTAAAGTCTTTGGTATGACCCGACCGAGAATGGAACCTGATCTCACAGTCCCAGGGAGGACAGTACCACAAGGCCACTGAGCTGGTCCCATATTGTCCTTCTGTCTGTATTTGTATTCCAAATGGACTAAAGACAGCTCATGTAAGAGGTGGTAAAATATGAGTAAAATAAAATAAGTCAAATAAATGCAACCATAGGAAGTTATCCAGTGTGATCCACAGCTATGTTAGCTGTAGATCTTTTCCTGTCTGTAGGAAGTTCCTGATCCAATTCCATGATGTCACTCTGAGTTTGCCTGTGTGCAGCTCTGACGTTGGATGTGTGTGTACAGAGGAAGTGAGTTGAGAGGAGCAGCATGTTGGCGTACTGACTGTGTGATTCGGCTGCAGCCCAGATTGGACAAAACAAGCAATAACTGGAGTTCTGTGTGTAAACTGGCCTGAATATGAAAATAGAAAACAAGAAACACAAGAAAAAGTTGTAAACGACAGCTTTACTTTAGAAACTATATAGAAAAGTCAGACAACTGCTAAACGGTGAATCAAAAACAGATGTGTAGAAAAACAACTGTTGCTCAGAGTGCTCTTAAAGCTGCAGTTTGACTTGCTCTCATGTTTCCATAAGACCACCACCCACTCGACTAGGACATTAAATTCACTGAGCTGCATGCTGACTTAGCGACTGCTCTCTGGAGTCACATGTGGAGGCTGTAGTAAGCATTTTGTTTTTGTCTTTAGCGCTGCAGACCATTTATTGCAGCACGGATATACTGAATAGTTTCACAACTTTTAAATCAAAAAGATTATCAGTCCATCGCCATTCTCCTTCCCGGCACCTCCGTTCTGCTGACTCCAACCTCCTTTCAGAACAAAACATGGCACCATGGGGGATCGAGCCTTTGCAGCCGCTGCTCCCACACTTTGGAACTCTCTCCCACTAAACATCAGGAACGCCGTCTCTCTACTTTTAAGTCACTGCTTAAAACCCACTTCTTTAAATTGGCCTTCTCTTAAGATCAACCCAGCATCCCCCAGTCTGTTTACTATGTTTCATGTTGTTTTATTATGTGTTTATTGCATTTTTTGTGAAGCCTGACTGACCTAAAAAGCCCTAGACAAGTTTAATGTATTATTATTATTATTATTATTATTATTATTATTATCACTTACAACCGCAGAAGGCAACGTGTGTCCCCACTCCCTGTTCAGCCATTTTCCTGCACCAGATCTGGCGTTTACAGATGTTTCACACCTGTGTGAATAACACAGCTGTCTAAGAGAAAAACCACTTCTCCAACTCATTTACTTATTTACATATCTGAAAGGTGGCAGCCCTACCTGTGTCCATGCTGTCCAGGTCCAGGTGGCGAAGAACACACGATGAATCAGTCCCAGCTGATGGATGATCCTGAAGTGGTAGCAGGTTTTCTTTAGCCGTGTTTAGCTAACAGCTGCAATAGAAACAAAGCAGGAGAGCTGATTAAGATGCTGCTTCAGAACAACGCAGGAGATTAAAGATCCAACGCTTTGGTTCTGATCAGCTGAGGACAGATCCAGTCTGGAAAAGAGGACCTTTGCTCACCAGAGTTCTCTTCTGTTCTTCCAGCTACAGACTAAATAGAAGATGGATGCTCTACAAAAATACTAACAACGGTTTCTCCTGTTTAGTTCTGTCTGGTGGCTCACTAAATCAAGCATGTGCGTGCGCGCGCCTGTTCTATGGATCTCTTTATTAAAACTATTTAACGGTAATAAAAAAGTTTGTTGATTTTAAACAGGGAAACCCCCACTCGCGATTTAGCGATAGCATGATGCTAACTCCATTAGGCCGCTAGCGTGCTTTCCCTCACAAAGAAACGGTGTCCACTCACCAAGTGAACTGCTCCACTCACTAAAGACGGTAAATGTTCCAGATCCAACTACGTTACTGACTGTACTACCGACTACTGACTACCAAAACTCACCAAGTCCACCGAGTTATCTCAGAACAGCACAGCTTCTAGGTCGTGTCTCGGCAACTACAGTTGGCTACAGCTTAGCTTAGTTGTAGCACGGGGCGGGGAGTGGGCACAACAATACCATATATGGAAATGATGCCATTGCTTTCTAGAACTGAAGGGGGCGCTAATGTCGAGCTACCGTTTTGGAAAAATCTTTATTCAAACTGTTCATGAAACAATATATAATTGTAGGTAAACTATCGTAATTTCTATATTTCTGATTCATAAATATTTACTGTTTATTACAATATTTTTTGAACGTCGTTGTACTAAACATGACACAGTCAACAATCATTTAAACTATAATTTTCAATAACCTTCATCAAAGAATGACTGATTCTTCACACTTTTCACATCACTTTAATTTTTTTAAATTAGTGTGGTATTTTTTAATCGCCAATGTCATTCGAAATCTCATGAGGATGATTTTTACAAATGGCCTAGTTTTATACTATTTGTAGGAAACTAACCATTTGAGTTTGATGAGACTATTCATAGTATTTAAAACTGATATTTAAACCTAATTCCTCCAAAGATGTAACATCAGCTCTCCTAAGTGTCATCTGTGTCTCCAAATGAAATGAGTTGTCCTGATTTAATTTTTTTGTTATGTTATCATGTAACCTAATGAAAAAATTGGGTAAATGTGTGGAGAAAACTTTCCATTTTAGCAACAAGAATAACTTCCAAAAGGATGGCTCTGTTGAACAGCTGCTAAGAACGACTTTTATGGATTTTAGTTTCAAATCAATATAACTTCTAAAAACATGTGAAACTCCAAAAATTAGAATGTTGCACATTCATTTATTTTAGTAAAAGCAAAACCAATTGCAAAGTACTTATGTCTGACAATTTTCTATTTAAAAGCAGTGTTGGATGTTTTTAATGTAATATTCTAATTGTCTGAATTTTTGAATGCAGGATTTTCATCATCTGTAAGCCATAATTATTACAATTATAACAAATAAAGGCTGAAATATCTGGCTTTGTATGGAATGAGTCTTATTACTGAAATAAATCAACTTTTTCACTATATTCTCATGTTTTGAGTTTTACCTGTAATTAGATTTTTTATTAAGTTCATTTGAGTCATTTTTATATAAACTGCAACAAATTTTTCAAGAAACTTTATTCTCAAACAGAGGAACAACAGAATATTGTTTCAAAAAAATCAAAACAGCAGCAGTTCTTTTCAACATTACAAAAAACACATGTGAGTGCACTTGCTGCAAAAATGTTTCACTGGACTATTTGGCAATGTTTGAACATTTGAACATGCTCAATGCTGACAGCCAGGGCAGTGTCCAGGTATCCCACCAGAGTAATAGCGAGGGTACTTTCCTCTTTGTCCTTTTCCCGTGAAGCCCACACAGTCTTTGTATAGACCGTGCTCAGACTTGAAGGTTGCAGAAAACCTGCTCCAGTGAATCTCACCTATTAACAAAATGATAATTAAATTAAGCCAATTAATTAACAACATTGGTCATTTATTACCATCCAGCCAGGCAAAGAGGGCCTTCTTCCTAAAAACAGGATCTGAAACAATGGTGATGAAGTGTTTGCAGGTCAGTGCCGATGACAGGTAAATGGTAAATAGCCTGTATTTGATATAGCGCCTTCTAGAGTCCTGGAACCCCCCAAGGCGCTTTACAACACAATCAGTCATTCATCCATTCACACACACATTCACACACTGGTGGGGATGAGCTACAATGTAGCCACAGCTGCCCTGGGGCGCACTGACAGAGGCGAGGCTGCCGAGCACTGGCGCCACCGGTCCCTCCGACCACCACCAGCAGGCAACGTGGGTTAAGTGTCTTGCCCAAGGACACAACGACAGCGACAGACTGAGCGGGGCTCGAACCTGCAACCTTCCGATCACGGGGCGAGCACTTAACTCCTGTGCCACCGTCGCCTGTAAGCTGCATCTCCTTCTGTTAGGATCACCTCCAGGAGCACAGCTTCAAGCACAAGTCTATGAAAACAACACACATGTGCACCGTGAGACTGTCATAAAATTACAAGACAACATGAATGTTTATTTATTTATTTTTGTCATTTAAAAGTAAAAGAAAGAACACAGTAATACAGAATCTCAATTATAGTAACCAAAAGGTGTAGGCTGAAGCCTAGCTTTTTATGCCTACCCTATTTACTCAATCACATTACTTCTCAATAAAAAAAAAAGAAATGACAATAATAAGAAAAAAGTAATGTAATAATAAAAATGAGAGTGAGAAAAAAATAATAATTATCAATCAATCAATCAAATATACTTTACAGGGGCGGTTCTAGACCAAATTTTCCAGGGGGGCCACAGTGGGGCCAGTATTTTTTCATGGGGGCGCAAGAAAAAAAATTCATAATAAAAGACAATGAACAAGTAAACTATTACGGCGAATGCAGTAATGGTTTATTTGTGAAAGTAAAACCGGCATGTTTTATGGTACTCAGATAACAATTCTGAATGCTTCACCGCAACATGAGACTTGAGTAAAAAGACAATTCTAGTCAATTATTATAGTTTGTGACTTTATTTGAAGATTATATGAAATGTACATATGAAAAATAAACATTCAAATAAAATATCTGCACAATACAATTTGCTATTTGTAGTCAACACACACACACACACATACACACACACACACACACACACACACACACACACACACACACACACACACACTTCTTTTGTGTAAGTTTGTGCTGACTTAGTTTTACAGCATAAATCATCATCAAGATGTGACACAGTAATTGGTCACACAGTAATCTGTCCCATTACAATAACAGTATTCTACGTTTGTGCTGTCTTGCAAAACGGTCTACAAATGCTTCAAGGTTCAGAGCCTTGGCCCATCTGGATTCAATGCTTAGCACCCCTAGATTGCTAAGGCGCTCATCTGTAGTGGTAGACCGGAGGTAGGTTTTTACTCATTTTAATGTTGAAAAACTCCGCTCACAAGAGGCAGAACTTACTGGGAGTGCAACTGCGATTTTGCAGTCTAAAGCAGACCTGGGCATTTTACGGCCCGCGGGTCACATACGGCCCTTTGGTTGACTTTGACCGGCCCGCGTAAGGTTAATTGGAAATTACAAAATAAATGTATTTTCTCATTTCACCTCATGCATGGGCTAAGGCTGCATTGCTTTTATTTTGAAGTTGTTTTTTACGTGCACAATGACGCAATACGTATAGCAACAAGTGCCCGCGGTTGACATGGTGATTGTAGCCCCAGAAATGGCCGCTCATGCAAAAAAAAAAAAAAAAAAAAAAAAAAAAAGAAAGAAAGATGCCAAATACAGGATTTTCATCAAAAATTGGACTGCTAAGTATTTTTTTTACTGAAGTCGGAGGCAAAGCCGTGTGTTTGGTTTGCGGGGAGGAGATTGCCGTGTTTAAGGACTACAATTTGAGTCGGCATTACGACAAGAAACACTCGGAAAAATACAAGAACTCATCTGATGCTGAGAGGGCACGGACATCCGAAGCTTTGCTAGCAAAGTTGCAAAAGCAGCAAGGCTGTTTTACTAAGCTTCACACATCCAGGGATGCAGCATCCAGGACCAGCTTTGTGATATCCCACAAAATAGCTAAAAACAGCAAGCCGTTTTCGGAGGGAGAGTTTGTCAAAGAGTGCATGGTGGACTCTGCCGCACTAATATGCCCTGAAAAAAAAGGCGCATTTGAGCAAATCCCGCTGTCCAGGCGAACCGTGGGGAACCTGGAGCTTCAGCTGCAACGTGAAGTGGCAAGTTTGGACTTTTTCTCATTGGCCTTAGACGAGAGCTGTGATGTCCGGGGGATAACGGAGCTCACAGAGGAGCTGGCAGCAATGCGGTCGATGAAAGGGACAACGACAGGGAGTGATCTTTTTACAGAGGTAAATGCGTGCACGGACACTCTGGGATTGAAATGGGAGAGACTGTCAGGTGTCACAACAGACGGTTGTCCAAATCTTACAGGGAAAAATGTCTGACTTTTGAAACGCATGCAAGATAAAGTGACAGAAATCGATGCAGATCAAAAATAGGTGTTTTTGCATTGTATTATACACCAACATGTGTTGTGCAAGTCAGTGCTAAAAATCAACCATGTTACTGATGTTGTTACTAAAATAATAAACTTCATCAGGGCACGGGCGATGAATCACAGACAGTTTGTGGCTCTTTTGGAGGACTCCACACAGCTGTCAGATGGCTCAGCCTGGGGAAAGTGCTGAAGAGAGTTTGGGACTTGAAAGCAGAGATTCAGGATCTCTGCTGGATTTCTACTCTTCTCTTAAGGAGGAGAATTTCCAAATCTGAGGAGACATGCTCAGAAGATGTTGGTTTTCTTCGGCTCTACCTACATTTGTGAACAAACACTTTCAATGATGAAGTTTACAAAATCCAGGTATAGATCCTCTCTCACTGATGATCATTTGTCAGCTGTGCTTCGCTTCTCCACCTCAGACATTCAACCTGACTTTGATGCACTCGTTAAAGCCCAGCAGAGACTAGATTTCTCTCATTGAATAAGAAAAAAATCGCTTAAAAACACAAAATAAGGTGTTTGGACCACAAATATAGGCAACTAGCAGTGAACTGGGACACTTTTTTTTAAAACCTCTTTCTCAAGATCACAGTTCAGTGATTTTATTTTACAGACAATACTGTGTCTGTAGAATGCTAAGAACCTCTTTCCAACAATATTTGAAACTCAGAATGTGTTTTGGAGTGAATGTGACTGAAACTGTTAACTAATATAAGTCACAAATGTTTAACAAAAACCAAATGCGCACTTTGTTTACCATTGCCTTGGGAAATTTGAATAAATCACATTTTTGTAAGCGAACCTCACTTTTTCCTTTTTGCTCATTTATAACATATAGTCTACTCTTACCAGCTTGAAAAAACGATGGTATTTACTGCTTTTTATAAAGAAATACCATTAATATTATGCATAATTGACTTCAGCCTTTTGGCCTGGCCCTCCACAATATTTTCTGTTTCTCATGTGGCCCCATGGAAAAAATAATTGCCCACCCCTGCTCTATAGTCATTGTTTGTTTTTCTTGTTCTTGTCCATCACCTAGTCAAAT